CCGCCCCCCCCCCCTCCCCTATATTCCTCTGACGTTTAACGCCGGCTCTGATCAAAGGGCTTGTCGATGTTTGCGTATCACGATAGGATATGATTGAAACGCTAGCCCCGGTGTTTGCCAGGTGGGTCTGGTGAAGGCTCAGTATCCAACTGCCCAGACGATTCCCGGCCTTTATCGACAGTCTGGCAATACTTCCCAGAATTTGCTGCACAGCGACAGCGACCTACGCTTGGATGCCCAGGGAGCTTTTACCCGGTAAATATTGGAAAGATAAATGATGACATGGGCTGTGGGAGGACTTTAAAGTCAATTCCTGATGAATCTCCAGTGAAATTGATGGTAAATTAGGGAAGAGAGATGAGTTGATTGCACGTCAAGATCAGATATTCAAGAGTGTCTCTGGATACTCCTGATGAACAGACCGAGAAGTGCACTTGATTTGTCAACCTCTTCCCATAACACAAAAAAACTTAATCTTTCCACAGATTTGAAGCTGTGGATAGGGACCTGCATCCCCCACTAAGCACTGGAAGTGCCATTCCCCCGCAGCCACTGAGACCAGCGCCCCAACCAAGACCAACAGCTAGACCAAGGCCATCACCACTGCAAGCACCAACCGCTGCAGATCACCTGCGAATGCAGCAGGCAGGGCCAGGACCGCTTACTCCTCCCCCCATCCCTCGAGCACCAGGTTCTCACAGGACAAACGGGCCCTCCGTGTTCTCATTTCAGAATGAAATCCCGAAGACCTACAGCTCCTACAAGACCCCCAACGATCAGCCATTGCTCCATTTAGAGAATCGTAACCACACTATCGCCGAGAACATCCAGATGAGACCCTATTCTCGTCAAGCTGACACCGTCAACATGCATAATTCGCATTACGAGAATGTCAAGAGTCTAGAAGACAGAGTGCAAGATTCTTACGTCAGTAGAATGACTAGAGACAGCGCATTCGCCCCTTACGAACTTCCCCAAGAAGCATCGCAGTTCAGATACCTCGGATCCCGCACCGAGAATGATCCAACAATGAATACTGAGGACAGCAGATCAGTCTCCAGCTACCCTGGTTACGATTTCTCTCAGAAGACTCATCATCAAGTTCGTCAACACATCAGAAATGACTCGCGAGGCACATCAAGCAGCTTCAATCTCACAAATTGCAACAATACGACGCAAGCCATCATGGAGTCAATATATGGACCTCAGGTAGTCACAACATTGCTCCATAATACTCAGAATTACGGAAATGAAGTTCTCAGAAAAACGGAAACACCGCAGAATATAGAATTGACACCATTCCGCCGCAGCACTTTTCCCGATGATCTGGCTTACGGTCTCCACGCAAATACAAAAGCTCAGGGATTGCAGAGAGTATCACAATATATTCAAAGTTTGCCGGATCTACCAATGTACGAACCTATGAATGACCAAACAGACGATCGGGATGAATCTATGTATTCCCATTTGGAGGGTAGAGTTGATGATGGTAGAAGTGTGATACCCAGTGGAAATGAGTTGACACCGAGTCCAGTACCACCGCCCGCACCACCTGATCCCCCAAATCCACTAAATATACATCGGAAAAATGAACCTACCACGGGTGAGAGAATCTTCAGTGCTTTACGTTCAGTCACATCCCAGAGTTATATCGACGCATCGGAGTTTTATAAGTGAGTATTATTTGTCTGAACGAAAGCATTTGTATTTATCCCTTAAGAATGGCCTAAACAATCCTCATGGGAAACTCATCTAAACCCACTATAACCGAAATTTGTCGTGTAATTGAGGATAAAATCCCTCAACAAACTCCAAGCTAGCTCAAACTCGCTCAAGGTAATTGGCTTGAGTTTGAGCACTCAAGAACATTTGAAAGAGCTCAAACTTTCTCAAAATTTGTTCAATCTGGCTCAAGCCAATTTCAGCCTGTATAAACTTGCTCAAGGCCGCTCAAGTTAGTTCAAGGTCGTAGGGGGACTAAACTTCTGTTCAAATTCAAGTTTAAACATCATCTATCCATCAGATCACATATCAATTATAATCTTTGATTCCAAAGCCGCGTGCCATACTCAAAGTCTATTATTCATCAATTCCCCAACAACGCTGCATTTGCTGAAATATCGTAAGTTGATATACTGAATGGCTTAAACGATTCCCCGGAAAACTAATCTAAACCCACAATAACCAAAATTTGCCATGTAATTGCGGACAAAATCCCTCAACAATCTCCAACCGTTTAGCTTTCCTCTATCTACGTCCGTTTAACTTTCAGCTCAGTGCTATCGTCCGCCCAACAAGTTCCCAAACTCACATTCCCCGGGATGACGAGATCATCGATACAGCTGGCTGATACAAATACTTCAAATAATTTGCAAGACGAAACGGGGGAATACTACGGTGATGTTGAATCAACGGCTCTGAGTATTGACGGTTCAAGGCGTGGATCTGACCTATACAGTCCGGAACTTAATTTAAAAGCTCACCAGACCGCACAGCAGGTAACGTTTCAATTAACGACTGGAAAAGGAACGGTTTAATTATAAAAGTTGGGGGCGAAGATCTGGGCCGAGTGAAATGATTTTGAAATCTAAATGCCCGGAGTATTGTACTTGAATATTATCTTTAGTTTAACATATTTTAGAATGGTAATCGTCCGTTGGATTTTCATGCTCGATGAAAAGATAAAATGACAGCGTTTAACTGTATCGATTCTAGGTATATAACAGTCTGCAGGATCCACCGGCTTCCCCTCTCCTTCTCAAAGACCTGGACCAGGAGCCCTATCCCTACATGTCTGACCCAAGTTTCACAAGAACTTCCGAGGTACAATCGGATTTTTTTTATCACATTAAAACAACTCTTTCGTCACAATAACGAATTACTTTTAATGCCAACTCCCTCAATTCCAGGATATCTTCAATAGTCTCGAACAAAGGAGGAAAAGCATGGAGAGGCTGAATGGCATTCACGAATTCGTGGAAATGGAAATAAATGATACTCAGAGGCAAGTGTCTCCAGCATCATGATAATGACATTGATTAAAATGCTTAATTGCGAAACAATTCGCTTCTTTTTCGCAGGAAGAAGAATGCCCACGATTGGTTCGCTGTTCTCGAGGAGGTACACATGAAGAGACGACTATCACAAGTAATATCAATAAATCATTCATCTTGAGGCATTGCTTCGTTAAGAATTAATCGAAATGGGTTATTTTTGGATTTTATCAGAGTATCGAGGATGCATTCAGTTGCTATACGGGCACGGAAATCGACGACGGAAATACAGGAAGTAGACGGGAGTCGCAGGGGCCAGAGCCGGAACCACCTCCCGACGAAGCCAATTTGAAACGGGCAATAAGCTGTGAGAGTGTTTGTTCAGATACCAGTGTCGTGCTTGGTGATATTGAGGATGTTACGGTAGTTGGGCATATTTGCGTGGGTCTTGAGTATGAGAGATGGGGAGGACGTGGTGCTGATATTGAGGGGGATCTTGCTGCCAGTGTTTTGGAGGCGAGGGATCTAATCACGCCAGACGGACAGCCCGCTCAAGATACATTAGTGAGGTATGTATGCTTCACTGACTGCAAAAAGAAGGGAATGGGAATTTCGACGAGACGGTTTGAATATGTGTTCACATTTCTGTAAGAAGGTATTGATTCATGAAGGTATACACTCGATGAAAGTGTGAATGTGTAGATTTACTCCCACTGTCCTCCCATTGGTGCCTTCTAATATGGTACAGTTCAAACTAGCTCACGCCGGAATGTACTCAAGCTCAAACAAATTTAATGCAAGCTCAAGATGGCTTAAATCTGCTCAAGACAATTTGGAGGAGCTCAAACTAGATCGAGACTTGTGCAATTTTTCCTACTACGGTGATGGAATAAATTATTTTTAATCAGATGTTTCTTTCTTGCAACAAGTATTATATTCTTCAACCAATTTCAAATGATATAAAACAGTCCTTGGCGTCAAGTCATATGTCATCACCAGAAACATGGAAGAAGTTCTATTTGTTTTATTAATAATTTGTCGAAATATCGCAAGTGGAGAAATCATGAATTCGCGGATTTAAAATAAAATGTTAACAATTTTAGGGCGTGCCTGCTGCCAGACCGACAAACGCATGTACAAACGCGGCTCTACCGAGGCTCACCCTCTCCAAGTTATCAAGAGAAGTTTTTATTCCCTCTTGATGGTGGCCCCATTGGTAGAACATTACTATTAGAGGTGTGCACTACAAGATTAATCTACATTGCCATACAATTCCAGAGTTTCATAGAACTCAGTATTATCAACTTCAATTCCCCACAGATATTTTCCGTCGACATTGGCATGGGCGGTGGGGTTTCTCTCTTGGGTGAAGCCTCTCTCAAGTTGGGCCCTGCTGCTCGACCACCAGCCACAACTTGGTTACCTGTAGTTAGTCCAGCTGTACCGGTACCTCATCTCGGTGAACTCATGTTCTCTTTGAGTTATCTGCCAACAGCAGAGAGACTTACACTTGTCGTTGTTAAGGCTAGAAATCTTCGAGGAGCTGACGCTGTGCCTGGCGATTTTTTCGTTAAGGTGCGTGAAAACGAAATTGTCAAATGAGCTTTCAGTTGATTGGTAATGTTGGCTTGCAGGTTTATCTGCTTCAGCAAGGGAAGAAGGTTCATAAGAAGAAGACCTCTTGCAAACGCGGGGAGAAGAGCCCGACGTTCAATGAAGCAATGATTTTCAATGTTCCTGCGCATGCTTTGCAGGTAAAATTCTTCACCAATTCTTCATCCTGATTCATGGATTACATTTATTTATTTATTTATTTATTTACTAGGGGGCTGCCCCTTCGCCAACCCCATATGACCTTTATCATCCTTATTCTGACCCTCATGACCCTCAATCTGACGTATATGAACCTTAATGTGACACTCGTGACCCTTATTCTAACACTCGTAATCCGTATTCTGACCCTCGTGACCCTTAATCTGACAATCATGACCCTGATTCTGAACCTCATGAACCTTATTTTGACCCTTCTGACCCTTAATTGGGGAGTTTTAATTTCAAGCACTATATTGTTATCACCAAAAATCGATCTGGATTTTTATAATATAAAGAGATTTACCGCTGTACAGTAGACTCTCCCTAGTTGCTTGTAAAAAGGGCTGTAGGGGTACTATTTCCAAGAAATGAGCAAATTTCCATCGCTCCCCACTCCGCAACCAATGCCAAAATTATTTGGTTTTCTGTGATTTTCTATTCTACATCTCCCCGAAAATTTGTAAACAAGGTGCTGACGTCACCCTGTATGTTAAATTGGCAAGTGTTGAATATGCATAAATGCATAATGTTGAAATTTACGTGTGTTGTTTTGACCGGTAACCTGATTCACGATATCGTGGCACAGATTATTGAAGCACTGATTTGTCTTCCAGACAATTCAATTGAGACTGACAGTAGCCGAGTCGACGAACGACCAATTGGCGAATTCAAAAGCAGAATCCATTGGTCACGTCATAATTGGCGCCACCGCAACGGGGAAGTCCCTTGCGCACTGGCGGCAAATGCTGGCATCTCTGAGGCATCCTGTTGTAATGTGGCATCCCCTCAGAAAATGAATGGCCACGTTATCAATCAGTCATAACGGAGTTATTCACATTCTCAGAGGGCGGAATAACCGAAATATTTCAAACTGATATTCTCGGTCTTCATATTGAGGTCTGCTTTAACTTGATTGCAGGGTTTTTTTCTTTGTTTGATTTCCTGTGAATTCATAGGGCGGATATCGATTCAGGGACGATTCGAAGTGGAGAACAATATTTGGGGTGGATACACAACTCGGAAAATATTGCTAAATTGCCCCTTGAGGCACGAAAACATGTGAACTTTGTTTTTTTTCTCGGTATAATTATGGAATAATAATCGGGAGGAGAGCTTTAATTTCCTCGAGTTCGAGTACACGGGAAAAATATTAAAGTATTTTTTACTATGGGAACAGAGTAATTTTTAATATGAGAAATTGGACGCAGGACCATACTCGCCAAACATTAAAATTTACTGTTTAACATAGTAATTTTGATGACAAATGGAAAATTGCACCGCAGCGGATGAAAAAATACTGGTGACGAAATTAGAATATGATAGAGTTCATAAGAAAAATTCCTGTGGAACATAGATTTGTTTCGTTGAGTCAATAGTAAAAATTCCTTTAAAGAAAAGCGTTTAAGACGCTCTTAAATATAATTTTTTCGTGCGCCCAGTTTATACAGTTTCTTTTATTCAAAATTACTATGTTAAATAGTAAAAAAAAGAAATTTTACATCGCAAAAATTCAGTTCAAATAGGTCAAATTTTAAAGTTTTTCCGGAATGGCCCTGGATTACTATGTTCACATAGTCATTTTTCATTTTATATTCTTTCCGTGTAGACGAGTGATTCTATCCATGGAGAAATATGAAGTATTGGTAACTTCGTGAAGCAATATCAGTTGTTCGGTGTTCCAATGTGTATCGATGAATGTATACAAAATAATACAATATCTGACAAACATCAATTGCTCATCGTTGCAGTATGTATGATCATACGTTTTTGCATCACCAATATGTCATGAAGTTACGATATTCAATGCAATTGTCATTGTTGACAGACTGACGTAGTCGAGAGTTACAATGAAAAACTTACTAAAAAGATTGTACAGTTATGGAACTCATGATATGACTCTGAAATCGAATTTTCAAGTTGGAAAAATTCAATATTTTCATAAGTTATTCCATTTTATTACACGTACCATCACCATCAACATGCTTGAGTCACTTGAGGATCCTATAGTTAGTACCTGTTACACCTAGAACCTCAGAACAAAAAGATGAAGATTTATTTTCAACCAAGAGAAATGAGTTTCTTCTATTCTTTAGCATCCCGAATTGATTGCAAATTAAATCTGTTGAAACTTGAGAAGAAAAAGCCGAGGACGAATGATCCCCGTTCAATGTTTGGTAAAATGTAAATTAATGTTGTTGTTTCCATGAAAAAAAAAATGTTAACGTTTGTACAGAGTTTATTAGCTATGTCATCCAACGTGAAAAGTGTTTTGTAATTTATGCGACATTTCAATGACTTCCCTCAGCAAATTCTCACACCGATCATTAATCGTGTTGTTTATGTGTCAGTACTTGCTGATAATTTCACGATCTATTTCATCTCTATTCGTGCATTGTGCACTTCCATCAAGAACGAATTTATTTATGTTAGTTTGGGTTATGACATGACCGGAGTTTTCCGGTATTTCGAGGGGAATCGGATGATGGAGATAACGAGAGAATGCATTAAGTGGTCTATACTGTATGTAGCCTTCCGAATTTAACAGCCTACTTCAACTACTTTTATACCTCTTCATACGCCATACTAATATTAAATTATACACGTAATTCAAAACTGTATTTAACCTGTATATGGACATATCTACATATACTATGCGAAATACCTTTAACTATATTATTAAAAAAACCTTTAAATACTATATACAATACACTTTTTCATTAAAATCTTTACAATTCATATACTCGAAAATTTTCGACATTGAAGGGAAAATTAATGATACGATTGAATTAGAGCAGAAAATCTTTTTCAAGCATCAAAAATTCTAAACGAAAATTAACATTATAAATCTATTGAAAGTTGCGATACTTGCATTATCCACATTTTTTTTATTACCGTAAAATTTGATGAATGTTTCGAGACGACAAATCATCCAAAACCGTGTGATAAATCACGAGAAAAGCCGCTGCATTTCCTCTCCCATAGCAAGACACCCAACCACCGCTTTGATAATTATCCACAAAGGTTATTAGGGCGCCACGCTGAATATTCTCAACAGATTATGCAAATTTACCATGATTATTAATTTATATGCTAACACTCGCCTTTCGGAAAGGGTCATTTGCCAGGAGTTCAGTCGATACCACCTGTCTGAGCATAAAATCATCATTTGCATGTTAACGAAAATTTCAATTTGGGGTGCCCTTTGTGCTGGCGCACACTGTTTAGCTGCGTATTAATTTTTTTAGGAGAAATAACTAATGCACATTAATTACACACAATTTTTCGGAGAATATTTTTGCATCCACATAAATCGTAAGTTGGCTCTAAGGAATACTAGTGTCGAGAGTATGGAGATTTGGAATTGTTCGCGATGACAGAAATTGTAAAAGAAAAATGATTACATAAACGGATAATTCACCTTGTAGGCTTCAGGATAAAATGCGATTTGAAAATCCAGATCAAGTGCAAAAACAGTTGAGAAATAATTGATGAGTGATGACAATAATACACCCGAGGAACTCGTTTTACAATCTTCAGAGGACAAGTTAATAGCAATGAAGATTGTATGAGTAATTCCATTAGCTTGCGATAGATAATATGATTTATCTTGTTAGAGATCAGCTTAGAAGCAATAGTACTCCTGAATTGCTGTGTATATCGATTAATTTCGTCCATTAATTCATGTACTGAACAATTTACTTTTTGAAAAAGAAAAAAAATAAATAACGTCCATGTAATCCAACTCATATAACGATGCATAAAAATACTGTAATTTTTTAATTGTTTGATATTTTTGTTACGCCTCTCTGTGATATTATACGGGCCCATTCACACAACCCTGTACATTAAAATCCATTAACTCTTATCATATCAGAGTGTAAATTATTTTCATAGAGATATAAGAGATAAATTGTCACACTGATGAGAAATTAAAGATTCAATTTGGCTCACTCTACACAATTTCCTCTCGGACTCAATTAGAACTGTCGTTTACAAGTTGAAAATTATTGACAAATTTAGATATGACGATTGGTATGATAAAAGTTGAATTATTCTTTGTATATCGTGATATATTGAATACGTATATAATTATTGAGTGGTGAGAGTGACGAGGCGAGCGAGAGGTGTCGATATTACAATGGGAGAAAAACATTTTCTCAAAAAAGTTTTGTTTCAAGGGAAAAAATTCCATGGGACAGTAGCTTTTCGTTTCGGTTATTCAATAATCGCAGAGGAGAAATGAATTCTTGAATAAAATAATAATGATGAGATTAGGGACGAAGTATATAGGAAATGATGTGCAAAATAATGCAATACAATAGCAATTTCCCACTTGTTTTGGTTACAGAGAAAAAAAAAGAATTTATCTCGAATTTATATCTTATTAGGGATTCATGATTGTGAAGTTCAGTGATTTTGTCACTAATTTTCAGCGACATTATCACAATATAACCAATAATTGAAGATATATTCCGGAAAATCAGTGGCATATTCCTGACAATCGAAGTTTTTTCTCTGCATTAATATTCAACTTGCTATTTGTTTTTTGTTTAAACAAAACTTGGCTGAGAAATTGTGCATTTTTCTCTCCATGTCCGAGAAAAAAATTGATGGAGAACGCAAAATAATGAGTATCGACACTTCTCCAGAGTGAAATAGTGAAATGATATGTTCCTCAAGGCGAAATGAACCTCTGAAAACTTCAATTTGTTGAAGCTAATAAACTAATCATCATTAAGATATGAATAATAAGTAATAATATACCAGAAGGTATCACTTGGCTTGCAGTGTGCGCGTGAATTTCTATAATCCATTTAAAAAAATAACAAATCATGAAGTGTACTCTGCCCATCCATATACCGTATCGTATTTCTATTGAACTGCAGCATGATTCGATGATATAAGAATTACTAATGTTACAGAAAAGGATTATATTGCGAGAACAAAGGGATATTGATCATTACTGTGCGCATTTAATTGGGGAATACATTTGATGTATTTGTCGCGCTACGCAAGGTCCTTGATAAATCTCAGTGCGGTTATACTCATTAATTTATATGAATAATGAAAATATTCAAAGAGAAAAAATATATTTAAGTTGAAGACTGAGATGTAGTATTTTTCCTTTCAAATCTTTCCTCATTTCTTGTCGTACAGTAATAAAATTGATGAAAACAATATGTCTCAAGTAATCATTTGTCTGATTCATATATTTCCAGAGATTCAGTAATTCTATAATTCCTGTATCCGTGGAGTGAGATTCAAATGCCAAATAATTACTGTAAAATTTATTCAAATTCATCCATTTATTTTTTAATTCAAACTACAATATTTTCTCATTTTATTTTTGATCGCGCACCAATTTCTGTGGAATTAATAATACTAATTATTAATATTTTCAATTAATTTCTTTGGTTACTATAGTATTCCCTTCAATTGTATTTACTTTTTTTATCCATTCGCATTTTAAATTCGACTTTTCCCTCAATTGAAATATTTTGGCTAATGTTTTTTTTTGATAATGAAAATACTTCATTTTAGGAAGAATTTATAAGAATAATGAAAATATTCAGAGAGAAGAAATATATTCAAGTTGAAGACTGAGATATTGTGTTTTTCCTTTCAAATCGTTCCTCATTTCCTGTCGTACAGTAATAAAATTGATGAAAACAAAATGTCTCAAGTAATCAAGTTGTCTGATTCATATAAATTACATTCATTTTGTTTCCACTCAATCCGTCTATTTGAAATAAATTCAGTTGACAAAAAAATTTTATCTCAAATTGTCTTTAAAAAAAACTATTGAATTTTCCTGAGATTAAACTTCCAGAAGAATCCCTACTAATCTGAAATTCATGACAGAAAACCGAATGTGCACTTTATTGTTTTAATTCGAATAATCCCTTCGGAAGCAAATTGCCAATTTTTAGCAAAAAAACTACTTGTTTTACACCTGCGCCATGGCCCACTTGTATTTGAATTTTGTGCAGTTTTCTTCCGAGAATTCGACGAATCCAAACAGATGGCGCCGCGCAGTATCAACTTGAGGAACTTGGTAAAATTTAATCCATCAAACCAGTCGGTAAAAGATATCTCGATTGTAGAGATCACTACATATGCCTATTTCAAATAAATTACTAACAGTTTCTCCCGTACGTCAGTGGAAAAATAGTCCACTAAAAATAGTTCAATTTTCTGGTTGCTAAACGCGATTGTAAAATGCACAAAGACCCGTTATTTCGAAACATCAGCACAAAGAAGAATTTCTAAAACATTTGAATTTCTAAAACAATTACTTATTAATAGACAGGGCTTTCCAGGGAGAGCAAGTGCGACTAACGCGGGCTTTTACTGCTTGGAAAACCTTCAACACTTGTGAAAAACTTCCTGAGAGCTTTCCAAATTCGTAGAAACACAATTCTGTTTATGAATTGCCATTAAATTTCCGAGAATGCAAACGAAACATGCG